TTAAGACAGCAAGACAAGATTTCGGGAGGGCTCACGTTTAACGGTTTAATGAAAATTTCACTGGCAAGATCGTTTTTCACTTTTAAACTCGGCAGTGGGGGCTGGGGGGGGGGTGTCTTATGAGTCTCTCTTGTCTTGGCAGCCATGTATGTGGAACGGTCTACAAAGAGGGCTCAGCATTCAGTAGGACGGGCGAAGCACATACAGTACATGGCTTTTAACCGTGGTGCAAAAGTCACGTATAAATTCTTTGTAATCCCATAAAATCCAGCGGTCTGAAGAGAAGCCATGGAAGACGGCAGAGGAAGAATAGAACCCAGCACCAAGGCACTTACACAAAAACCCCACAAGGGAATCGCAGAGACCCACACTGAGAACCGGGGAATGACAGAATACAGTAAAGTTTTCCATATCCATTATCTCTGCAAATCTCCGGATTTAAATTGTGATTCAAACCAGAAAATGGAAAAAGGGAACAAGTCAGACCAGCTGAATCTTATATCTTTAATTAAAAATTACATGAGCGATTCTGATATTTGTTAGCTCAGTTACCCTGTTTATGATGAGAGGGATTCTTAAAATTATTGCAGCCTAATATCCATCTGGATTTCACTTCACGCTACTAAATTATTTGTCAGAGTGACTCTGGACTATGCAGACTGCCAATTCACCAAAGTACTGCCTTTTTAGACCATTACTTTCCATCCATTTTCTCAGAAACTCATTTTATCATATTTTGGCCTTTCAAAACAACACATGGAACAGTTGAACTGCCTAAACGTTCCCTGCAGATTTTATGAGAGCCAGTCAGGAACTAATTAAGATCACGCCGTTTCACTGTAGGCGAAAAGCCTTCCCCTCCGTGAATGGACCGTCTTTTAACATGATGAACGGTGACAGGCCACTTTAACATCCCATACACACAGAAAAAAGCTACTGAGGGAAGAGCTTCAGCACTGGGGTCATGCTATTAGGGCCAAGTGGGGCTTCACTGAGTGCTGACCAGCCAGAAAGTAAGAGGGAGAGGTTAACCGGGAACACACAGACACACGCATAGAGCAATCACTCACTCACTGCTCATGTAGGCAGACAGATCCGCAGAATATATGGACATTTATTTGTAAACTTACACTAGATCTACAGTGGGGGAGTGAGGACAAGGAGTGTCAGTGGCCAGCAGGAAATGATGCGCACAGATCTGGGCAAAAACTTCAAATATATATATATATATATATATATATATATGACTGTGGATGTCTGGCATCCCCTTTAAGGTGCAGTTATGGAAGACAAATAATTGCTCTCCAGCCTTGTTCCCTAGGCATGCTGGGATAGGGCCCAAGCTCACTGGAAAAGTCCTTATTGAAGATGGATGAATGAAAGCTGGATGGAAGAATGAGGCAAAAAAAAAAACCCACTGCATGCATTATAAATACATTTAAAATCAGTTTTCAAGCAGCAGGTTGGTTGACGGTCAAACTAAGCTAATCCATCCATCCATTATCAAACCACTAATCCTCGTCAGGTTTGCTCATCATATATACCAGCAGGAATGGCCCTAGAGCTGGAGTTCAAATAACATACTCACCCAACGAACACCACTGAGAGCCCAAACAGCCACTGCCCTCCTGTCAGGAGCCCCACATTCCATATGGAGCTGGGATGCCCCCCCCCCCTTCACCCAGTAGAACCCCAAATACTGTTGCATTACACTGAAGATAGAGCCTTCTGCGAGCAAACAGAGCCAAAACAAAAAGGAGTGAAAAATTAGTGTAGTGAAGCATAGATACAACGGAGTGCGGTGGTCCCCATGACAACCGGTCAGATCACCGTAGAGACGCACGATGCCAGAACCCCAGAAGCAGCACGTCCTTGCTAAGCCCACCAACAGTACCCCCATGAGTTGTGCGCCAGACTTCGCTACCTAACCTAGTGTACAATCAATCATTTGTTGCTTTTGTGTTGTACTGGATATAAGTTGCTAGGGTGAGCATGTCTTCCAAAGCCTGTAGATATAGAATAATGGCAGAAATGACATCTCTGTAGGCACCAGGATTCACTATCAACTAGACTACATTTAATAAACATATCTTTTGTTCAGCTAAGTAATATGCATCTACTTGAATAACAAATGCAACATCTATCAAATGTTTGTCTACATTTGTAGAGCAAAGGTGACAAAGCTGTTTTTCAGTATCTCCATAATGGCCTTAAACAGAAACAGGATAACAAATTAATCAGCATAAATCAATTTATACCGATAAGGTTTTGTAATACTAGATAACACATGTGGTGACCACACTATAGATCCACGTGGCCCTTGGTGGGAGGAAGTTGGAAAGCAAACTAGTGCAGCAATGGTGCCACCTGCTGGACAATTGTTTAACAGCAAATTCACATAAACAATATGGAGTTAACTAATGCTAAGAGATTGCACTCTGGGGGGGAAAAAGTGTTTATAGGGGAATAACTGGCTTTCACATTTGGCTGATTTAAAGCAAAAGACATGTTCCACTTACAAGAGTCATGAATTTTAATCAAAAATGTTCATCACTATTCAAAAACTCCATTTTAAGAAATCAAATAAGTTACTATAGCAAAAGCACGCAATACTTTTTTTTCCTTTAGTGTATCGTAACTCATCAAAATAATATAGAAAATGTGGATATATCATTTTTATATATTTGTACATACATTATGTATATAACCCTTCGTTTTAAAATTCCCTTAGACTGTACAGAGTGACAGTAGCGTTTTAGCTTTGCATTTGTGAAGTTAGATTCTTGATCATTACGCATCCATAATAAAGTATTTAAACAAACAGAAATACAAAATCACACCTCCTCCCGCAGCTGATGGGAACTTCAGCAGAAGGATTTTGCTGAGAGAGACACACATGCACATATACAGACATCATTATTGGTGCTATAAGAAAGACAAGAAGAGGTGAAGCCGGATGTAAACATTGCATCTAAAATGCACAAAAAAAAAAAAAAGACGACAGACCCTGAGAAATCAGTTTGGATTTCTTGATTGTCAGCATCGTTCTGCATTAGTTAGCGGCGTTTGTTTGTTTGAATAATGTTATCCAGCGACTTAAGGCGAGGAGAGAACAGGAGGGGCGGAGACTGTGTTGTTTACACAGTATTGCACATGGGAAATACATTTGTTCTTTCCTGTTTTCCAGAGAAATCTGATCAAGCGTCACAGTTTTCTCAAAGTTTGAACAGTTCATTGAAAAAGAGAACTTGAATGTAAAGTAGACACCAGTTTCAATAACAGTATCATTACACTGGAGAATATACAACAATTATAACAATAATATTATTTATAATAATAATAATAATAATAATAATAATAATAATAATAATAATAATAATAATAGCAAGTACATTTTTCAATACAAAAGAGCAGAATAAAAATGGATTGTCTTGCAAATATAAAAGCATCAAAAACATACAAGGCATCTACAGTGAGGAAAAAAAAAACAAAGTTATCCCAAAACACAGCACTTCGACACGAAAACAGCTCACCTTGTTCTGGCAGGTCTGCGAAGGTGTATTACCACTGCGGTCTTTAAAATATACCGTATGACCAAGTCTTGTGTATCAATGGTTCGTTAAAAAACATTAGAAGACACTGGCATGCGTGTGCACACGTAAGTATACGCACGCACGCACGCGCGCACACACACACACACACACACACACACACACACACACACACACACACTCCACTATCTGGCTGGGTCTCCCTGACCGGCACTCCAGCCTCCAGTATAATATTTATGCTGCATCTGAGATCAAGTCAGGGGTTTCACTGCACATACCTCCAAATTCTGAGAGAGTACGCGCACATACGTGTGCATGCGTGCACCAGTGTCTTTTAACCCCAATGATAATGGCTGCTATCCCCAAAATCCAGCTCCTGAAATTGCTTCCCCCAGATGAGAGTGGAACTGCACGAGCACAGCTGACCCCCAAAAGCATGTTGGCGTAGGCTGAGTCCTGTGCCAGTGGGCGGAGTCCTGTGCCAGTGGGCGGAGTCCTGTGCCAGTGGGCGGAGTCCTGTGCCAGTGGGCGGAGACTGTGAACCTGCACGGCACGGAGTCTCTGGACACCACAGATGGGAAGGGCGGTGAGGGGACATTTCAGTGCCAGTCCGCATCCTCTTTGTCCTCGCCCTCCTCCGACGACTCCTCGGTGCTGCTGTCCTCGGTGCCATCCCGTGCGCCGTTCTGCTGGGTCGCCGCCGCCACTGCTGCTGCTGCCGCCTGGGCCGCCGCCTGGGCCGCCGCCCGCTCCTCAGCCTCCTTCTGGCGCAGTGCGGCCGCCTTCTTCTCTTGCTCGGCGTGGCTCTTCATATGGGCACTGCGGCTCTTTACCTTGAAGAAAACCCTGGGGGCGGAATCAAGAAGAGGGCAGAGTCACGCAGCAGCATGTGACGGACATGTGACGTGATCCGCCACTGAATCGGCAGGTGATTATATTCACAAAACCTGCCTACAGGTGGCAATCAGGAGCAGTAAAAGTTCCAAAACTGGCCCGCACACTCATCGAGCAGCCATTGGGGGGCGCTGTTTTCCACCTGAGCCGCGTTTCTATTGCTAGGCAACAGCTGGTAATAACAGTGTTCCCGGTCAGTGTGGCCAGTGTGTCCCGCCAGTGCTCTATTCCCGTCTCTGTGCTTCCCGTGTCCAGCAAAGAACACTATTTCTCGTCAGGGTTTGGGTTCTGTTTACTGCTAACGAAAGGAAAACGACATTCTATTCCTGCACTGCTGGATCGACAAGGCAGGCCACAGGACCGGACCTTGGCCGGGACGGGGAACCACCCAGCAACTGAGGTCCAATAACAGCAGGCACAGAGCAGCCCGCAGCGCCTGCCAAGCATGCTGAGTCGGAGCTTCTCCTGTACCTCCAGGCCGACCAAAGGCTTCTGCGGCAGTGCGTAACGCAGTGAGCGTGCACTGTACTCCCGATTCTACAGTTCTACACGCTCCTTGGACAAAAGACTGTCAGACACCTTCTACTCCCCGCAGCTAAATATTTAGAGATTTGTACTGAATAACTAAAGAACATGCTCGGATTATGATCCAGAGTGTCAATTATACATATTTCTTTACACTAAATAATCCAGATTTATTATTGAGTTCATTACAAACTGACCAGTTTCTAAAACCTAAACGAACTTATTGTAAACACATGAAAAATCTACTTAAAATATACTATTAATACCAGTGATGCTTGTGGATTTGATTTTTCTTTGTGATATATCCCAATTTTTTGAGTCCTGAGAGATTATAGGCTCGGCTGGGGTCTTGGGGGGTCACTCACCTGCCGCACTTCTTGCAGGGGAACGTGCCCTCCTGGTCCAGTGGGGCCTTTCCCGGGGGGGCTGCCCCGCTCTTCGGCCGTGAGGCGACAGCCGGTGGTGGCTGGGGGGTCTGTCTGACCTGGGGGGGCTCCTTCCGCTCTTCCTCCTGGAGAGACGAGGCGGGATCACGGCCACGAGTCAGAGGCAGACACACCTCCACAACACCCCCCCCCCACCCTCCCCAAAACCCTTCAGAAAGGGGAGGAGGTCAAACCACAACACAATGCTACCAGGTGTGAACCCAGGACACATGTTTACACGGCAACCCAAATCTGTGTGTTTCTCATCTATCACTTCAAGGGTTTTACGTTTCAGGAAAATACCAAAAACGAACGAATTTAAGTTCCAGCAGTTTGTTAACCGCTTTAACAAACCTCTGATTGGCAAGAGCTAAGCGACCCAGCTAGTGAACGATCCAGCAAAGCTCTTCTGTGCGCCGTGTCTGAGCCCCCACCTCTGCTGAGTGAGCTCAGAAGGGCCCAGAAGCACGTCCTCCTTCCCCAGGCCAATGGGTGGAACCGAGAGCCCCAGCTCTGTTCCAACTGGCGCTGAATTTCTCAACAGCTCAGACTGTGGGAGCACGGTGTTCTGAACCGGCACGCTGCTCACCCAGCTGCCCCGCACGCGCTGCGCTGATCTCCTGCAGGCCTTCCCAATCACTTTGTTTTTTAGCTTTTTTTCCACACTTATGCTGTGGGTGGAACACTGAAGGAGCAGTACGGCACCCTCCCGACTGAAGTAATACGTTCCAGCCTGCCAATGAAGCCACTCCCCCTCGGCACTCACGCCTGTGTTGGCCTGCAGCGCTCGCACCACCCTGGCCGGAGTTGCCTCCCGCTTCGGCTCACACGCCCCCTCTGTCTTGGGGTGCTCGTCGTCCTCCTTCCACTGGTCAAACCGTTGAGAGGTCTGTGTTGGCGACAGAGAGAGACCCTAAACTAACATGCCTGGAACTGCCATACATTCTACCTGCAGCCATGCAGTGTGTATGTCCAGGCAGGGGGGTGGGATCCAGGAGGGACATGCACCCCCCACAATGTTAATTTGCCTTCATTGGTAAACATTCGACCTTTGCATTTAAATAATTAGATTGTGTCCCGCTCAAAAGCACGCCACAGTAATGGAGAGACACCCCTAAGGATCAGACAACAGTTTTTACAATCCTGCATTTCTGAAATCATTAAGTGAATGCAAACCGTATCAAAGGAGATTCACCCCAAAAAGAGAAATGCGCAGCTGTGTGTGTATGTGTGTGTATGCTTGTAATTATTACATTATGGGTCCAGATTTCCCTTTTTATCTTGTGGGGGTATTTTTTCAGTCCCCATAAGGAGAAACTCAATTTTATAAAAATCTGTGTATTTATTATAAAGGTTATGGCTGGGTAGGAGTTAAGGTTGTCATTGTTGGGATCAGGGTTTTTTTCATTAAAGATGAATGGGGGGTGTGTGCGTGTGTGTGTGTGTGTGTGTGCGCATGGGGTGAAGGGGGGGGTCACCTTCACATCCACCTCTGCGTCCGAGGCCCTGGGCTCACCGGGCTCCGCCTCCCCGTAAATGAGGACGCCATTACGGCCGAGCTTCACCTGCTTCTTGTAGCTGTAGTAGAACTCGACACACTGGGCCACGGTTTTAGTGCGCACCTGTGGGGAGGGGGGGGGCAGGGAGGGGATTACATGCACACACGCACTGGGGTGTAACTCTCCACACTGCACACTTCTGATGCTGTCAGGGGGTTTGAAACACACGGCAGTCCCCCCTCCCCCGCCCCCCCACACCTCATCCCCAGGGTTTTCACACACCAGCTTCTGGACCACAAAGAAGTCCTTCTTATAGGCGGTAATGCCCTTGTTGAAGAAGCCTCTTTCTGCTGGTGTCCAAAGGTCTGACCCTGAGAGAAAGGGACACACACACAGATATACGGAGGAAGAGAACGCAGCAGCTGCACATGCTCAGTGTGTGCAGAGCGAAGCCTCGTGCGCACACACACACACACACACACACCCCTACAGCCCGCCTTCTGGCTTCAAGAACATTCCGCGCGCGTGAGCTTAAGAGCCTGCAGCCCCCGAGAGCGCGTGGGTGTGTGTGCGCGTGCGTGGGTGTGTGTGCGCGTGCGTGAGGCCAGGCGGCCCACCTGAGTAGTGATAGTCTCCCAGCGGGTGCGTCTTGGAGAAAATGGGATTCTTCAGAAGCAGGAGCTCCATGGCTCTCTGAAAAGCAAAGGCAGATTGACGCACCAGGAAGAAAGAAAAAAAACGCAGGGGATAATGGATAACAACAAGGCCGGCCTGTCAACAGCAGCCTACATCACCATCTGCGACAAGCGGAACAGAACTGAACAAGAACAGAACAAAAGCAAAAGGGGGAGAGAACAGGCTGAACACAGGCTGAACACTATGAACTCATACTCATTTCTCCGGATCTGTTCTGTAAAAATTATTGGGATCCAGCATGATGATGTTTATAACCAACCTAGAAGACAGGCGGTTCTTTTAGCTCAGAGCGGGCCCACCCCTGGCCCTCCTCCCCACAGACACGACAGGCAGCATTCGGAGAAAAACGCGTGAGGAGTAGAGCTCCGGTTCAGGCATGTAAGACGATGGCTGCCAGGATTAGCCACTGAGCCGCTGAGGTTAAACCGGGATCATACCCGTTACAGATCCACAGTGCCGTCACAGCCAGATCAGACGGCTCTGAGCTGACCGGTCTAATCCAGGTTATAGGACACTCAGGCCGCCCAGGGACAGGTGAAAACACAAGGGGGATTTCCCAAGAGCTGGAACATGAAAAGCTCCCCTAGACCCCTCCAGAGTCCCCCTAGAGCCACCCTGGTGCCTCAATGATGCCCACTGGAGCCTCCCTAGAGGACCCCCGGTGCCCTGCTGTCCCTGTACATGCGGTGCTTGAGAGAGTTGGACTGCTTTCATCTTCTCAAAATGTCCCAGCATGCACTGCTCACCAGGACGTCTCCTTTGCACTCGTGCAGGCAGTGCATAGCCAGCTCCTGATTCGTCCCACCCCCACACACAGCACTGGAGCAAGCCAGATTCATGAGGTCATTCACTGCAGAGGGGACAGGGGCGTTGGGGGGGGGGGGTGGGAGGTCGGAGAAGAATGATGTAAGCTTTTAAAAAGAACAGCCTGTTAAATGCGGACACGTTTAAAATGTCCGTCAGGTGTGGCAGGATAGTTACCACGCTCCTGCAGTAAAGGTGTCGACTGCAGCTCCGGTACCGGGAGCCACACGAGGTCGGCCAGATGCACGTCCTGCTGTGCAACAGAACGGTCCAGCAGTGTGGGTATGTCCGCCTGGTACTGCTGCCCGATGTTTATCCGCCTATTAAGAGAGGCAGAGAGTCTCTGCACAAGCTCTTGCTGAGGGCCACATACCACAAGCTGCACTATGTGACGCAGAACAGCTTCAGACTATTCTCCTCTGTTAATGACAAACTGTCCAATTTAAACCCTTTAACAACATCAGAAGAGTACTGTCATCCGTTAGCTGATAGTGGGCCGTCTCAGTTAAAAGGGAAATACACAAAACAGATATGTCAATGAAAACATTTTAACCATTCAAAGGCAACCTTCACATAACTTCCATGTAAAAATATTGTTTATCCAGAAGACTTGATGTGAGGGGAAAACCTCGTCCTTCATTTCGGCACGCACAATTTCTTGCGTTACAGAAGGAAGTTTTTATACGAGCAGATAAGACAAATGAGGAAAAGAAAAAAACAATCTGGGTCGTGAAGGCCAATGCATTCTTTGCCGCTTCGGTCAGAAACCAAGGACTAAATGCTGCCCCCTCAGGCATGGAGGAGTAATGGCAAGTTGGTTTGGCTAAGTAAGGGCCAGGGTAGAGGGGTACTCACGGCTCAATGCTGACAGGAGTGGCCTCCCCCATGACCGGGAGGATTGGGGGTGTTATATCTGAACTGGCTGCAAGCACAAAGCAAAACAAATCGATAAGCTGGGGTCATGTGTTTATGAGCAAGACATAAACGACAACAAAGATTCACCACTCCGGGTGGGGGGGGCATACTCACTGGAGCGCAGCAGGCTGCGGGTGGAGGTCTTGGGCGTGGGGGGCGGCGGTAGGCCCTGGCTGCTGGCGGCGACAGACGACAGGATGGTGGAGAAGTAGAGGCCGGAGCCTTCTCGCACGGGGCTCAGGATGGGCGGCGGCGTGTACGGTGGGATGATCATGGTGCTGTCGGCCAGCCGCACCGGCGAGCGCAGGTGGCTCTGGTACGACGTGATGTTGTGGTAGGCCGGCGGCGCGATCAGCGAGCTGGGCTTGGGTGGCGGGATGAAGAGTGGCTCGGGGCGCGGCCGACGCTTCCACCGCACCGACTTGCCGTCGTCGTCTTTACCCCCCTCATCCTGCAACCGGGGGAGATGGACAGACAGCCTGATTTTTCAGCATTGGAGGGGCGCACGGTTTCATTATTGGGGGGGGTGAGGGCTCTGCAAATTACAGGAAAAATTTTCCCACAATGCACAGTAAACATAAATATGTAGTAACCAGAGAGAGCCAAAACCTACAAGCTAACTAGGAAAGTTGCTATCGGAACAACAATGTCTTCCAATCACACCGTCCCTAATCCTCACTCTCCCCACGTCCTCCAACTTGTACAATTTCCAGAAGTACTGTATGGATGAACCGGAAATACAAAAGCCAATAAATGTGTTTTTATTTGAATGTTGTGAGTCCGAGTTACGACACACAATTCTGTATCTACACATATTAATTTACTGCACATTCCACTTAGATGCCAATTTGCACAAATCCATCTCCACCAATTAGATATTATTATTTTGCTTATATTACTTAGAAGTCTAACTATACAATATGCATCTGCACTATAATCAAACACATTCTGGTACATAACAATAAGAAACTGTACCAGACACACCTATAACTGAGAAATACTATGTAATGTCATACAGACAGATACAGAGCTCACTGTGATTTTCTTCTGAGACCAAATGTTACTGCTGCTTACATTGTTTCTGACTGCGGAATTCTGCAGTAAATCTTAATACTACCCAAGTCTACCCTACACACTCCCCCAGCTCTAAAAAAAAAAATAAAAAAAAATCTTTATTAAAAACCCAAGACTTGCGACTTGATCTGCACCAGTTCTTTCACATCACTAGGGCTAAGTTACACGTTTAAATCTTCCCATGATAGATTTTGCCAAAAAAAAAAAAACACAGCAGTACAATGAAAATACTGCTATAACACCACCGAACCCTAAACCCCCACACTCTCCCCAACTCTCCAAGACATCCTTATGAGAAGCCCAACGTTAATTAAAATCCCCCACAATAAATTTCACAGAGTTAGAAAATCATCCCGTGTCCAGCACGAGAACCATTGACATGGAAAGTTTGAAAAAGACACTTTCAGATTTCAGATGGCTGTGTTTATAAGGTGGCATCTGCAAACATCCCATTCTGTCCTCTTACACCTATCGCTGCTGTTTCTATTTTGGTGCCATTTACCTCAGGTGCAGGTTCTCATCCACTGAATGTTTTTGTGAAGTGATAAGACCCAAAGATCCGAGCAAATGGAGTTATGATATCAAACAGAGTTTTCCTCTTTACAAGGTCAAGCGTCTTACCGAAGCCACTTTCCCTTTGCTGTCAAGTGGAAGGAAAAGTCAAGCCACACAATTCCCACGATGCAAAGCGAGACCCACCTGGGCAGAGCTCTCTGACAGAGAGTTCCTCAGCGAGCGGCGTCGCGTCACGATGACGGAGGCCTTGTGCTCCGGTTGCGTAGGGTCCTGCTGCCCCGGCCGGGGGGTGCTCCAGCCGGTCTGGCCATGCCCTGACCCGGAGCACAGTTCTAGCTCAGTCTGTCGCACTGGCACAGACACGGGAATCACCAGTGGCAGCAGGCTGTCATCACGAGCACGTTTGACACCTTGGCCTTCCCCTTCGGCGGACTCTTGGCCATCGTGGGCTTTCAGGTGCTCCTCCTGCTGGCAAAGAGAAGTATGACAGGTCGGCCACGCCGCTAAACGTGGCGATCTGAATGTGAACAACATCCCTTCCTCCTCTCCTTTATTTAAGCCAAAAGAAAGAAGAGAGATTTGTGTTTGGCTGCCGAGAAGAGGAGGAGTGTGGAGCGAGCTGCATGTTTAGACAGCCTGCCTCTGATGGAGGTGCCTTCGCCAGCAGGAGGCAGATTTCCTGCGCTCTGGAATGCGACGCATCTCCCCTTCCCTGAAGTGGAACCTGCCCAGCCCCAAGGGCGTTCCCGAATGCAGGGCTTGCTGCCGTCCCAGATCGTAGGAATGCAGAGGTGTGTGGACACGCTCTGTTGTCGTCCTGGCAAAACACCCAGTACCTCTGGATCCTGCCCCCACCCCGTCCCATGCGACGCATCCTGCGCTCTGTTAGGACCACACCCCCGTTCTACTCCCTGTTCCTGACACCGATGCTCGCGTGCTGCAGTTACTTCCCGTAGCTGCAGGTTTGCAAGGCGCGACCTGCTGGAGCTCGACGACTGAACCGGTGGGTCCGTCACCCCGGCGAGGCGGCCTGCTCCTAGTGCCGCCGCGTTGCACAACCCCGCAGACGCGCATGGCGTGCCATGACGCATTGAACCCACGGAACACAAAATCTGTGCGGGGCAGGCGAAGTGCAAAGCGACGGCATGGCCACGGTCACAGAGAAGCACGACGGAGAGGCCGCACCGAAAAATCACCATAAAAATGCAGCGCCTGGTCAGAGCAGAAGCGTCCCTCAGTGAAATGAGCGAGGGAAGGGCTGAGTGAAGGGTTTCATCACCAGCCGGCTCCCGCTTCCTGTGGCGACACCCACGACGGAGCCAGCCCAGTGCAAAGCTGGCCTGCACCAATAAGATGTGGAATCTAACGTGGTGAAACAGCCTTAGAAATACGGGGTTTTCGGCTCAGGATGCGTTCTAGCAGAATAACCCCACAAGCCTGTAAATCTCCCAGTATGGTTTTCATACTAATATATACTGGGGGTCTCTTTATCCTGCTGTTTTTACCCACCGATTTCGGCTGGAAGTCATAGGGTGAATTTCACTGCCGTGCTACAGTGACAGCAAGGGAGGGAGCGGTTACCTTGACGACCTGCGAAGGCAGGGACTCCATTTCGGACGCCTTCTGTGCCAATGTTTCTAGATTGGCCTCTTGGGACACCCTCCTCTTCCGGCGCGTGCTTTGGATGACCCCCATCGGGGCCCCCTGTGGCTCGGTGGCGCCCCCCTGGCCATCCGGGGCCCCGTTTCGAGGGCCCGGCTGCTCCGGGGCATCCTGGCCCCACAGCACCACACTAGGGACATCGCCCTCCCGGGAGAGGCGGCGGGAGCGACGGAGCTGGAGCTGAGGCATGTCACAGGGATGTCGAGAGTCCGCAAGGGGCCCCTGGGCACGGGGATCCACATTCACAGGGCCGAAGGGAACAGTGGTCCCCTGCAGGTGACCCACCGCCTCCATGGCCTTGGGGGCCTGCTGGTGGAGGTGCGGGTGGGCATGGGTGTGGTGCGCGTTAGGGTACATGTCCAGGTAGTTCTGCTGGTTCTGCTGCTGCAATAAATGCTGCTGCTGCTGCTGCTGTTGCATGTGCTGTTGCATGTGCTGCTGCTGCTGCTGCTGCATGTGCTGCTGCTGCTGCTGTTGCATGTGCTGCTGCTGGATCTGCTGCTGCTGCTGCTGCCTCAGATGCTGCAGCTGTTGCTGCTGCTGCTGCTGCTGCTGCTGCTCTTTGACGTGCACCCCGTAATTCACATTAGACATGGCGCCATGGGTCGGAAAGTAGCCAGAGGTCAGGTGCTGCCTCGGAGGGCGGAACGCTAGCTGGAAGGGCTGCAGCACGTTCGAGTTGGGGGCTGTGTGAGCGGCGCCGTGCAGCACGCCGGGCTTGTGGCCCTGCGGGAAGCCAGGGAAGGAGACCTGCGGCATGGCGGCAGGCGCCTGCTGCTCCCACTCTAGGCTTCGGGTCTTGGCCGGGTCCCGGTACGCCTCAGCCGGGTTCGGCTGCTTCTCAGCAGCCCTACGCGGCACCTGCATGGTTCCTGCTTCGTGGGCTGGCTTGGCGTAGGTGACCTGGCCCACTGGATCGCTCACGCCCATGTACGGGCCCATGCCCTGCCCCCAGGTGCGGGGGATGCCCTGAGGCCAGCCAGGGTCTTGCTCGGGCCACTTGACAGGCACGCCGTGCTGGAAGTGAGCCCGTGCTTGTTCATTCTTGTCGGGGCCAAAGACTATGTCGCCGCGTGGCGGCTCGGACCCCGGGGCCCGCATGCCAAAGCAGCCCCCCCCACCGCCGTGCTGCTGCAGTGACTCCTTCATGGGCATGGCTTGTTCGTCGAAGAAAGTGATGCGCTTGCCGGTCCTCTTTGCGTTGGGCTTCGCCTGAGGTGGCAAGCTCATGGCTACACCATCAAGCCGAGAGGAGGCTGGTGGGGGGGGCAGGGGGGGGGTTTGGGGGGTGGAGGGGCCACTGTAACGGTCCAGTTCCTCAAATGATGGCTAGTTTGTATTTAATCCACACTGTCAAAATATGCAGCCACAACGACCTAAGATGGGGAGGGGGGAGGACCAGGGATCACATGAACCAGTCCTCCTGCAGACGGAGGGTGCAGAGCGGCACTGAGATTTCTGGGGATCCACTGGCCGTCCTCACTGGCTGGCGGGACCCTGGGAGAGAGAGAGAGGCTGCAGGTGAGTGCTGAACGAGGAGAGGGGTCCAGCTACCATAAACTATACACACAGGAGGGCGGGAAAACTGAGCAGAGGTTTGGCAGATACACACAGGGTAGACACACACACACAGGGCAGATACACACACAGCGTAGACTATTCAATGAGAAATTTGTCATTTATCCCATAACCCTATCGTGTAACTATAAAATCCAACATTTAATTTCAGTGATTTCAGACTAATCAACTACGATCTGTGCCTCTTCTCTTAGCATTTCATATTGATACTTTGTCTTTCAACCCTGTCAATTCCAATATCTTAGAAAACCGACCGAGTGAGTGAATTCTTCCATACGGCCACTGCATCAGCATAAAATCACATCCAAAGAGACACTCTGATGTGCTGTGTATGGAGAACAGCGAATAGTGTTAGTCAGGCTCAAATACAGTGCAAACTACACTTGAGGATAAACGTACGACAGCGTTAAGAGATGGCTGCTGCTATACCCGCAGCTGTCTAAGAACGAGGCCTGCATGTGCGTCAAATAAATCTCCTTTCGGTCAGTAACTCTAGCTAAAGCAGAGCACATACAGAAAGTGGTTTCGCATTGCGAATTAGGCCACTCACATTTAGCAACACGGCCAAGAAAAACCAAACACAAAAAAGTCAAGCTTGGTGTTAAAGAGAAGGCATGTTTGAGAAACAGAAAACTCCGTCGTCCGGTCGACATTCAGTGCCATACCTTTCCGCAGTCGCATTCCCATTAAAACTTTTGGGGCTGCTCCCACACCAGACGAACCTGTCCGGTTTTATTTTCGAAATATGCAAACAGCGGGGAAAAAAAACAAAAAAGAAAAAAAACAAAAAAAACACGAGTTTCCACTGACGACAGGCTTCTGGAGAGCACAGACTCAGAAGCCCAGTTATGGCAACGGAGCAGAACTGCTAAATGGCAACTTACACAATCCGAGCAAGATACGGATTAGAGGGCAGGACTCGACAATGGGAGGCAACTACAACAGAGTGCACTTTTTAAAGTAACAGCGGGAAGAATCGACAAAGAAGTGCAGCCAAACAATACTTAACAGCAGCCACATCCTCAGATGAGCTCTTTCAAAAATAAAGATTATGGAAGTGATTTTTTTTTGTTTTAGCTATGTGTGAGAAAAAACATACCTTTATAAATACGTGTTTTTGTGTTATAAAAATGTAATTGGAGGACAGTGCGACTTCCACAGGCTCGGTTAATAAGACTGAGTAACTATCGCCTGACCCATTGTCATGGAGGTGATCCTGGGGTTACAGGAGCTGACTGCAAGGCGAAAAGGCCTCCCACTCGCGCCTCCTACAAGTGAGTCAGCTTGCTGTTGTGGGAATCCCCTCGTTTCCGTTTGCAGTTGCCTCATTAAGGAAGGTAAACAGTGATGGCTGCCGGCAAGACTCCGACACAGTTCTCCTTTATTGCCAGGGGAATAATAATAATAATAATAATAATAATAATAATCATCATAGCAATAATTAAAAGGGCACCTTTCGCCCGATGTTCTTCAGAGTGACGCTGGTCTCTGCAATGTGACGGTAATGATATGCACCCACACACACATCCTGAACCTTGATTAGTGCTGTACAGCTCATTGACAAGCAGGTTATGGTTCTGTCTGAGGGCATTAACAGGTTATAAACCTGGATCTGAAGCTCACATCTCCCAGAAAGGTGGAAAGAAACCGGTACAACTGGTAGTGCAGAGGTGTCGGGCGGTAAAAAGAAGCAGTGGGACAGCCGGTGAACGAGGCGGAATGATGTCCGCGTCTCACCATTTTCTGGGCTTGGATCCTTAGATCAGACCATCTTTCTATTCCCTTTGTACAACATTGTGCTTTGCTAAATTAGGTGAAGCTCAGACAAGCCACTAATAACAGCAGACATATTACATACATATTTTAATTCTTGATGTATATGTATATGAACACACACACACACACGTATACATAGATATAGATATACATCAAGAATTAAACTATTTTTGTGTGTAGCACAGGCGTAAAGCGTTTTTTGTGCTGCAAAGAAAGGAGAAACTTCACTTTCAGAATGTCACACCAACCTCACATGGACCGCAGAACTGGGCTGGGGGGGGGAGGGAGACACGTGT